ATTTTGAAAATCACAGATTTGGGGTTTTTTGTTTTGTTTTGTTTTGTTTTTAAAACAAAATTAAACACATGTACTAAATTAAATCATTAGCCAGGATTTGTTTAAAACAGAGGCTGATGTATAAGTGAATCAGCCTTGCAGACTGTGCAAAATAGCCATGACTTATTTGGCCAATTCTTGGTTTGTTTTATTCATTTCCCTCACCATATTCGGAATAAATGCAACCAAAAACAGGATTATACCAGAATTCTGTGTTTAGACCCAATGCAAATTATGATAAAGAAATGCAGGATTTGTAAATCAAGAAGAATCAAGAACTTGGATTCTACATTTTTGATAAGAGATAAAGCGTGTCTCAGAATATGTTTCCATATCACACTAATCTAAGACCAAATAAGCCATGCCATGGTTTATTGGTACTTCAAACCCTGCAGTATAATTGATGTAAAAGAAATGCATTGTTTTCCCCTTTCTAAAGAGCTTTAAACTTTGCTCTCAAAGTATGTGTCCATAATATCTCTGGCATTATTTACTATTTTCAGTAGGAAAGACTATAAAGAATCCTACTCTTTTTAATCCCTAATTAACTAATCCCTAATTAGCAGTACCCTGTAATTAAGACTGGAAAAGTTATAGAAAGTAATTGTAGAAAATCAGGCAGAACTAGGAATTATGCAAGTATTCCTATCTATCAAATTGAACATGAAAATAACATGCTCAATGATCATATTAATAATATTAATAGTATTCATAATAGCAACAACTGACAATAACTTTTGATTTGTTTGTTTCTTTGTTTAGGAGGTACTTGTGGCCCTCCTATTGTGTTAGACTGGGCAGATATCGCAGATGAATATAAACAAATTAAGTCTTTTCTTCTGGGTTCAACTGTGAAATATATATGTCATCCCGGTTATGTTAGGAATCCTGAACTGAAGGCCACTGTTACATGTATTGGCAATCAGGTTTGGTCAGAAATTCAAGAATTCTGTCAAAGTGAGTCTTCCTTTATTCTGATCAAACTACAAGATAGGATGGAATGGCGGGTTAATTTAGTATCAAATTGTGTAACTCAACCTTTGGGAATGTATTTTTTGGCTACTAAATACAGAGAGAAACCTTGAATTAATTTTATACATTTTCTGTTCCCTGCAACGTAACACGGTAAAGTAGAATTCCTCCTGTTTTCTACTAGGAAAATCATGTGGACATCCAGGAGAACTGGCGGGTGGCAGATTGCTTGTAACAGATTATCTCTTTGGTTCTACTGTAAATTACCAGTGTGAGGAAGGGTAAGTTTCATGGAATCCAACACAGTTCCCAGTGGTATTATTCTTCCTGTTTCTTTCTTCCTCCTTTGAACAGTGTACTGTAAGCAGAAATTGTCTGGTATGAACTCTTCAAGGTGAGGTGGGGGAAATCACACTTTCCTCACCAGTCATTGGGCAAGGCCTGTACCTCAGTGGGGAGGGGGCAGTCCTGGCCAGGTTGAGAGTCCCTTCAACTTGCTGCTGCTTCTTTTGCTGTTGATATAATCTTTTTCAATCTAAGCTTTCTAAAAGAAGATCATCAGCAAAGATTACGAGTAAGCAGAATGAAAAGGAAGGACCACTATCAGGTTCATAGATTGTGTAAATAAATAGTGGAGTTGAACAAATTCTCCCTTTTGATCTGTTCCATCTAGAAAAAATCTGTAGGAAATTTCTCCTTCTGATGTATGATTTTAAAGATAGAATGCCAAAACAAAAGTTAGCAATCATAGAAACTAATTTCTCCTGCAGGCTGTTATTTTGCTATCTAGCAATCTATCTGTCTCTACAGATACACATATGCTGTCCGTCTACACATATGCATACATATAAAGATAGACTGACATCACATGAAGAGAAACGCATGGGATGAATGAATACAAAAATACTTTATGAGGCCCTTAGTCATTTTTATTTCTGCATTTTACTCAGACCTGAAGGCCACTTCAGACCTGAAATGACTCCAAGGAGCTCATTTTGAACTAGAGTAGACAATAGGATGTAGAATGTCCATTTGATTCCAACTAAAGTCTGCATCTTGATGCAGAACATAAAATGATAATACTCTGTTTCTTCTGTCTTAATACAGGTACAGGCTGATTGGCAAGTCTTCCAGAAGGTGTGCACTGTTTGGTGAAACAGTCGCATGGACAGATGAACTTCCTTACTGCCAGAGTAAGAAGCACCGTCTATATAAATAATACATTAAAATACTCCTCTGTTGTTCCTTGCCAACATACATCCAGAGGAAAAAGAATTAAACGACATCAAAGGCAGAACAAAACGCCAGTTGATCTGAGACAAAATGCAGGTCTATCCTAGGATGTTTGAGGGAGAAGGCTTCATGAATGTCAATATCTAAAACAGAACACAATCTCCCACCAATTTCAGTGGTGCAAATCATACCGAAGATAATGAAAACTGCATAAAAGAGTACTTCACACTTAAGCAACATTATATTAAGCTGCAAGGAAGTCATATAGCCGTAATGTTAACTAAGCCATAATATTTATTAGAAAATCTATGGAATCACTTGAGAATTTTAAAACTCCAGTAGGGAGTTTTAGGGCACTTTCGGATGGCACCATTTTCATTCCCAAATCCTTCCAGAGCATTTGGAGATTAACCCACAAGGCATCTTCCCTCCTGCAAGCCTCTGAATACTGAGCTCATAATAACCCGATCAGGGATCTCCCAGCTGATCAATTGGTGTGTGAGGAAAGTGTCATCCACTGCTCCCACCCAACTACTGCTGGTCTTTAAGGAACCCCAAATCATCTCACACCCACTCAGTACAAAAATTTGAAGGATTTGGAACTGGGTGCATGTGTCTGGCAGCAAAGCAAGAAATATATCAGGTCAGCTGCTCAATGCAGTGGATGCTGTGGGATTGGAAAGGTTGAGAAGTGTTTTTGGATTGATGAATTTTTATAGCTAATAGTATACTTGGAGTGGTGAATATCACAAACTTGTTTTGTTTGACAGTAGTCATTAGGGATATTCAGAAGAGGTGCTTTGGAAAGCCAGCTTCTATCAGCACCTTCTGAAAGAAGCCATGCCTTATCCCTGGCTTGCACAAGAAAATATTTCTTTGGGTTTAGGAGGTATTAAAGTGCTGAGGTTTCTTAGGGAGGTTCTGCAAAAAGCAACAAGTGCACCCACAGTCTCTCCAGAATACATTTCCAGTTTGGGTAGCTGCATTTCTCTCTAGTTATCATAATTCCTATCAAAGCTAAACAAAGACCCAAAATGCTCCTTTTGGTGGTTCATCTTCCCCTTCTTTCTAGTTATTCCATGCTTTCCCCCACCAAATATTCCCCATGGCAAACACACTGGAAAATATTTGCAAGATTTCTCCTATGGGACAGCTGTAACATATAAGTGTGAAAAAGAGTATCCCCTTATTGGAAATGCCTCTATTTACTGTACTACTAAGGATGGGATAAATGGAGAATGGAGTGGCTGTGCATATTGTGGAGGTGGGTTTTCATGTTCCAGTGGTTCTTGTATTGCTCCTCAAGCAAGGACCATTTAGTGTCAACTGCTAACCAGGACCATTTAAAAATACTTCTGCAAACATTTCCCTGGGGATCCCACACTGAAAAACTAGCTACCCCTATTCCTTAACCACTCAAACTGAACCAATCAGGCCATGACACTGGTGCAGTGATTTGATTCTTTCTCTTCATCTTCTTCTGACATATGTCTCCTTTTCAGTGATGCAGTGTCCACCTCCTCAGATTAAGAATGGAAGGATTGTGGCTGGAATTTCCAGCACCTACAGATATAACCAGAAGGTTACCTTTGAGTGCATTGGGGGCCACAAGATGGTTGGCTCCAGAGACATCCATTGCCAAGTGGATGGTACGTGGGACCCTCCCGTACCTCTCTGTGAACAGGGTAGGTATGAATCTGGATTTTGAAAATCACAGATTTGGGGTTTTTTGTTTTGTTTTGTTTTGTTTTTAAAACAAAATGAAACACAAGTACTAAATTAAATCATAAGCCAGGATTTGTTTAAAACAGAGGCTGATGTATAAGTGAATCAGCCTTGCAGACTATGCAAAATAGCCATGACCTCTTTGGCCAATTCTTGATTTGTTTTATTCATTTCCCTCACCATATTCGGGATAAATGCAACCAAAAACAGGATTATACCAGAATTCTGTGTTTAGACCCAATGCAAATTATGATAAACAAATGCAGGATTTGTAAATCAAGAAGAATCAAGATCTTGGATTCTACATTTTTGATAAGAGATAAAGTGTGTCTCAGAATATGTTTCCATATCACATTAATCTAAGACCAAATAAGCCATGCCATGGTTTATTGGTACTTCAAACCCTGCAGTATAATTGATGTAAAGAAATGCATTGTTTTCCCCTTTCTAAAGAGCTTCATGTTCCAATCCTTGGTTCCTGTGCTGCTCCTCAAGCAAGAACCATTTAATATCATCTGCTAACTGGGACCATTTAAAAATACTCCTGCAAACATTTCCCTGGGGACCCCACACTGACAAACTAGCTACCCCTATTCCTCATCCACCCAAACTGAACCGAGCAGCCCATGACACTGGTGCAGAGTGATTCTGATTCTTTCTCTTCATCTTCTTCTGACATATGTCTCCTTTTCAGTGACGCAGTGTCCATCTCCTCAGATTAAGAATGGAAGGATTGTGGCTGGAATTTCCAGCACCTACAGATATAACCAGACGGTTAGTTTTGAGTGCATTGGGGGCCACAAGATGGCTGGCTCCAGAGAGATCCATTGCCAAGTGGATGGTACGTGGGACCCTCCTGTACCTTTCTGTGAACAGGGTAAGTAATGAATCTGGATTTTCCATTTTTTAAAAATCAATATTCAGAGCTTTGTTCTGTGCTGTTTTAATTTCCTCTACTTTTTTCTTTCTTTTTCCTTTAGAATCACAGTGTCCCTTCCCTCCAAGCATAGCCAATGGAAAACATGATGGCTTGGCTCTGCAAATGTTTATTTCTGAAAGCTCTGTGACTTATTCTTGTGATCTGGGCTATTTCCTTATTGGAAAGTCATCTATTACCTGCACACTTTCTGGTAACTGGAGCCTTCCCG